GTTACCGGGGCCCTGGCTTTGGGCGCGGCTTCTGCTCATACTTTGTGGTGCGGTGGTGGTGCGTCGGGCCGCGCGCTCTGACTTCGGCCAAGAAAAATGCGTCAGCTGATCATTGTCATTTCTGCCACTTGCGTGTGGTGAAATGGGGTCATAACTTAAGAGACGGCTTTTTCATATCAATTATTTTACATAAAATCATATTTCGAACCATAAATAATGTTCGACAGCCAAATAAAAGAAACAATACCAATACAGGCTTACAGTTTAAGGCTCGACATTGTGTTGTCTACGATTAGACAGCTGATAACTCATTCCCGTACGTCGTAACTCTATAATGACCTTTGCTTATTGTCACATGTGCGCCGCATTCGCGATTGTTGCCGACGCCTGTTTGCAGGTCAGCCCACTACAGTTGTTATACATATCGAAAAACCGATAAACTTTTAGGCGAAAAAGGCACTATTCCAGGCCCATTTTTGATTTTCTTTGCGATATTAGGTAAAAACAGAAGCTTCTTATCCTAGGAAAAATAAAATGGGAAATCTTTCAAAGGTGGCACACTACCTTTAACCCTCGCCGGCACAGGGGGAGGGGGTTGATGCAACCCCCCCCCTAAGGCTTTTCGCTAATAACTCGCGTAAAAAGCGGCCGATCGCGACGAAACTTTAAGTACCCTCGCATTGATCAATTTTACACCTACCCTAAAAATTTCATGACCCTGACCCAAATGATCTTTGACGTGTGACCTCTTTTCCGAGACCATGTTTGGCCGAAATCGCGATTCGGCGTATGCCGGCTCGCATTAGCCGCGCGTTTGCAAGCTTTTTGTGGTTTCAAACGTTCAAACATGTGATTTGATGTTGCTCCCATGCATTAACCCGCGCCCAAGTGTGGGGGGTGTTTGAACAACCCCCCCCCCCTGCGGTTTTTCGCAGATATCTCAAAAACGGCGGCGCCGAGCGCCGCCGTTTTTGGTACACCTTATCATACATCAATTCTACACTTGTTGTGAAAATTTCAGACCAAGGTCATTCAAGGTCAGGTCACCAGGTCACTTGAAGTGACCTCACCTCATAAAAAGTTTCAATGTCTGCCATAGCTACACCGAGTGACCGATCACTTTGAAACTTTCAGCGATTGATGAGGGTAACAGTATCTATAAAATGCATTTCTCGAAATTTTGATATCGGTGACCTAAGGTCAGGTCAATTTTGCGGCCTCTCCATTATAAGTCAATGGGAGAAAATTGAAAAGCGTCTGTTTTGCACGAACGCTATTCTAGACACTCTCAAACATCGAGATGTAGGTAAAATTGACACACTGAACCGGAAAATGGCAACTGTGACCCCTCGTTATGTCCCCGAGGTCATCTCAGGTCACGAACAGAATCTAACAGTTTTTCGCTAATAACTTCTGATAGAGGCGTGCTAGAGCGCTGAAAACGCCTTAGATGTGTTCGGCTCGACGTTGCGGATCGACTGATATGCAACATGACCTTTTCTACCGTAGGTAAGTACGTGTAAGGGCACGAACTAATGACTCAATGCTTTGTCTATGGGAAAACGCGACAGTTTATTAATTTCTTTCTCGTAAATGTGTCAAATTGATGCCCGGGAAGGTACTGGAAATTTGGCGTTGCTGCGCGCCGCCGTTTTCTTGCTATTCAGGAAAAACCACGGGGGGGGGGCAAATTGGCCCCCCCAACGGGGCGAGGGTTAATGAATTGGCATAAAAGTGATGTCGCTCGTTTCAGAAAGAGCAAAAACAAATATCTACCAAATTTCACCGAAAAATATTACCCGGTTTTCAAGATATTAGACTTTTACTTTTGTTTACTTTTTGGGATCTCCGCTGTTCCTATAGCGACTTCATTTTGGAAGTGCGGCGTTTGCGGCAGATGTTGCGCGCAAATAGCATATAACCTGCTCACTGAACTCTATAATGTGGAAGGCGCATCGGCCGCCAGACGGCGTCCAACGGTGCCGCCATGTTGCGCAGACCAGGAAGCGGCCGCCGCCTGTGTTGGGGAATAGGGAATTCGGGACCTCGATTTACGTTTGCGGTCGCTGCATCCGTTACGTTCAAGCTATGTGGACACGGAACCCGGCATCTTACGCATAATTGAGTGGAGAACAAGATGAAATCCTAAAAAATCCTCAGATACAAGGAACTAATACGTTAAACCCTTATAAGTCAATGGGGAAATATGAAAATTGCTATTTTGGCGCCGAGAATGATCTGAAACTATCTCAAGCATATAGAATTATGATTTCATGCACTCCTTGCAAGGTTCTATGCTTCATATTTGCATTGTTGCCCTTGCAAGACGTCATTTGTGACGTCACAAGGGTCACAATTTTTCTTCAATAACTCCCGATCAAATTGAGCTAGCGAGTCGGAAAAGCCACCAATGGACTCAGGAAGACATGCCGAATCGAACGATATGCGACATGACCTCTTTCGACCAACTTCGTGACCTGGGGGTGCTGACCTGACCTTGACCTGAGATCAACACCCTAAGTTGACCTGACCCGAACAAAAAGTATATCACTCGATGCGCCTGAGCTAGCTGAACACGATGATGCCAAAATCGCGGCTCTACGGCCTTTTTTGGCGAAGTTATTTACCAAAAACCGAACCCGTGCCTTAGATCACTTGACCTGCCCTCAGAGGTCACCGGTTGACCTAAGACCTTTAAAGCGGGTTCCTACCAGTCACTCTGCATTATACTTTGCCGCATACGACCACTTTACCGCTTAATTCTAATTTAATTAGCGGCGCATTAGCGAGGTGGGTTCAATCAACCCCCTCGGCCGGGGCAAATGTAGGTCCAGCGAGTGAATTTGAGGAATTCTGAAGATACGATCGTGTTCCCCACTCAATTCTGCGTAAGATGCCGGGCTCCGTATCTACGTAACTTGATCGTAACGGATACCGCGGCCGCAAACGTAAATCGAGGTCCCGAATTCCCTATTCCTCAACACAGGCGGCAGCCGGTTCCTGGTCTGCGCAATATGGCCGCCACCGTTAGACACTTCGGCCAATAGGGTTGAAGCGGCAGTGCTCCCCTGTGACCCTGCTTCACAAAGATATTATAGTCTGTTCCATATCAAGCTTGCGTCGGAGTTTCTTCGGCAGATCGCTCCTCCGCTCAATAATTTGCGCCTTAAAATGTAAGAGCTGTATATACAGAAATCACGCATTGCTTTCAGCAGGGCACTTCGGCTACAAGCTCGAAACGGAACAGAGTATAGTAACTATAAGGTTTTAAAATCCTTATATCACCGCTGACGAAATTCGCGAAATTCTAAGGGGGCATTCCAATGCATTAGCCCCTTAGAATCCGAAAACTGCAAGTTTGAAATTCCATATCTCCGAATTAAAGCATTTTTCGATGTTGTGAGTGCCAAAACTGGTATTTGCAGGCCATGGCCACCAATTTGGCTATCTCAACTCAAAACTAATGTTCAGGTGGGATGGTCACTTTAAGCGTTCAGGAAGCAATGTTAATAGGTACTGATCACTGAACCACTTCACAAAAAAAAACTGACTCGCGAGCCTTCGGACCCTTAAATTAACCCGCGCCCTGCTGGGGGGGGTGTTTGAACACCCCCCCTTGTGGTTTTTTGCGAATATCTCAAAAACGGCGGCGCGGAGCGCTGCCGTTTTTGGTACACCTTATCATACATCAATTCTACACATGTTGTTAAAATTCCAGACCAAGGTCATTCAAGGTCAGGTCACCAGGTCACTTGAAGTGACCTCACCTCATAAAAAGTTTCAATGCCTGCCATAGCTACACCGACTGACCGATCGCTTTGAAACTTTCAGCGATTAATAAGGGTAACAGTATCTATGAAATGTATATCTCGGAATTTTGATATCGGTGACCTAAGGTCAGGTCAATTTTGCGACCTCCCCATTATAAGTCAATGGGAGAAAATTGAAATGCGCCTCTTTTGGACGAAAGACATTATAAACACTCCCAAACACTGAATTACAAGTGGTTCAGACACACTGAACATGAAAATGGTGTCCGTGAACCCTATTTATGCCCCTGAGGTCATCTCAGGTCACGAATGGTGTCTAACAGTTTTTCGCAAATAACTTTTGATAGAGAAATGCTAGAGCGGTGAAAACGCCTTAGATGTGCTCAGCTCGATGATACGGATCGACTGATATGCAACATGACCCTTTCCGGTCAGGTCATGACCTTGACCTGAGGTCAAATTTTCAAGTTGACCTTTCAAGGTCAAGTTATAGTTCATTCGATGCGTCTTGACGAGAGGAACACGATGCCGGTAAAAATAAGCTCGTACAAGGCTTGGGTCAAAAGTTATTGCAGAAAAACTGTTCCCAAAAAAATCGGCTATTTTTGCAGTTTTTGCCCCCTGCAGGCAAAACCGTTGACGTTAGGTCAAATCTGAGAGTATTACTCAGAAAGGGCGTTAATAGGGCTATCGAATGCGCTTTTCCGCGGCGCTGTAGCTTTATTGGTTCCCGAGTTATGCGTTGGCTTCCTGGAAATTGTCGACATTCGACCTGAAAATCGGCGAAATTTTGCCTTCAATGACCTCTGGTGACCTGACCTTTGACCTGACCAAAAAAGTGACCGAAGTGATTTCGTCATTATTTTTGGCGCTCCTTCGAACGCCGCCTTCCGCGTATCGCTACGTGGCCCAGGAGCCGAGTTAGAAGGGGGGGTGTTCAAACACCCCCCCCCAGCAGGGCGTGGAAATCCAGGACCCCCAGCCGGGCGCGGGTTAAAGAAACAATTAGTGTTTTTATTCGAATATTGGACTACAAAGTGATTGATAGCTATGGCATTCCGTGAACCGCAACCCGCATTTAGAACCGAGGTGCTCTTCAGATACGGATGAGCTGCACCGTTCCAACTTATCTTGTTACCGTGTGCGGTACCACTGAAATGCCCATGACGAATGGCGGACTCTCCCACCATTATCTACCATGTCCTCTGTCCTCGTACACAATCCGCCAATCGCGGCGGGCCCCCCGCGATATATGGGCTGACGCGGCCCTTCCACCGGTGGCCGCCGCCGTCTCAGAGCCCGGTCGGCCGCCACCAGAGTGTGAGCCTGACGCGGTGCAGAGCAGTCAGCATGATGTCGTCACGACGAGCGATGCCGCTGCTGCTGGTGCTGGCAGTGGTTGTGTGTGGCTGTCGGGCGGCTCCAGCCCCCGTGGCAGGTAAGATGAACTAGTCCAGATCCGAAGAGATAAATGCAGGGTGAAGTCGTATAAGAATACGCACTTAGTGGATTTCTTGCTCTCATTTGCTTAATATTTGAAAGAAAGAAATTGCAAATATGGAATATTTAAGTTCATTGAATTAGCCATCAACCCATGAGACAACGATCCTTCAGCGTAAATGGAAATAGTCTAAAACTGACGTTTTCTGAACCGCTGCTGTTGCGTACTCTTACCACATGGGGTGTGTAAGAGTACGCACGACAGGCGGGGAGAGTACGCAAGCATATGATCACACACACCTATGCAGCTTGTACTGTCCAAATGCTTAACCCTCGCCGGCACAGGGGGGGGGGGGGTTGATGCAACCCCCCCTAAGGTTTTTCGCGAATAACTCGCGTAAAAAGCGGCCGATCGCGACGAAACTTTCAGTACCCTCGCATTGATCAATTTTACACCTACCCTGAAAATTTCATGACCCTGACCCCAATGACCTTTGACCTGTGGCCTCTTTTCTGTGACCATGTTTGGCCGAAATCGCGGTTCGGCGCATGTCGGCTCGCATTAGCTGCGCGTTTGCAAGCTTTTCGTGGTTTCAAACGTTCAAACATGTGATTTGATGTTGCTCCCATGCATTAGGGTGGGTGTCAAGGTCACCTGAAGGTCAGGTCAGGTCATTGACCTTTGGTGACCTCGGGTGACCTCGGTTCACTTTTTCGAGTTTTACATGTTTCTAGGCTAGTTTTTGGAGCTGAATTCGAATTTAGCAACCATTTGAACATTTACGAAGTAGTTTTGGTGCCTTCGTAACATGTTACGAAGCTGTCCGAGGCGGTTGACACGTATTACGAATACCCGTCACAACCCCTACCGGTTGACCTGACCTGACCTGACCCGACCTGGTCTAAATGCTTAAAGACATCATCTATGATCAAAACTAACACGATATTCGTGATCAGCACCCCGGAAAACCACATAGCAGCCACACTTTACGACTTTCTACTAACAGGTCCCGATTTTCCCGGTTTTCGGGTCATTGACCTGACCTGGAAGGTCACCCGATGACCTAGGACCTTAAAATTGGGTATCATCGGCTTCCTCTCGTGACGGGCAACACGCTCTTTTTTCCGCGAAGCTCTAGCTCGATCAGGGGCCAAACGCGAGGGGGGGGGGGTCGTACCAACCCTTGTGCCGTCGAAGGACGCAAAATGGCCTGTGCCGGCGAGGGTTAACATCAAACTCAGAAGACATTTAATTTAATTCTAGTAACCAAAAAGAAAAACATAAAATAAATCTTGCAAATCTTTAACCCGCGCCCGGCTGGGGGTCCTGGATTTCCACGCCCTGCTGGGGGGGGGGGGGGGGTGTTTGAACACCCCCCTTCTAACTCGGCTCCTGGGCCACGTAGCGATACGCGGAAGGCGTCGTTCGAAAGAGCGCCAAAAATAATGACGAAATCACTTCGGTCACTTTTTTGTCAGGTCAAAGGTCAGGTCACCAGAGGTCATTGAAGGCAAAATTTCGCCGATTTTCAGGTCGAATGTCGACAATTTCCAGGAAGCCAACGCATAACTCGGGAACCAATAAAGCTACAGCGCCGCAGAAAAGTGCATTCGATAGCCCTATTAACGCCCTTTCTGAGTAATTCTCTCAGATTTGACCTAACGTCAACGGTTTTGCCTGCAGGGGGCAAAAACTGCAAAAATAGCCGATTTTTTTTCGGAAACAGTTTTTCTGCAATAACTTTTGACCCAAGCCTTGTACGAGCTTACTTTTACCGGCATCGTGTTCCTCTCGTCAAGACGCATCGAATGAACTATAACTTGACCTTGAAAGGTCAACTTGAAAATTTGACCTCAGGTTAAGGTCATGACCTGACCGGAAAGGGTCATGTTGCATATCAGTCGATCCGTATCGTCCAGCTGAGCACATCTAAGGCGTTCTCACCGCTCTAGCGTGCCTCTATCAAAAGTTATTTGCGAAAAACTGTTAGACACCATTCGTGACCTGAGATGACCTCAGGGGCATAAATTGGGGTCACGGACACCATTTTCATGTTCAGTGTGTCTAAACCACCTGTAATTCAGTGTTTGGGAGTGTTTATAATGTCTTTCGTCCAAAAGAGGCGCATTTCAATTTTCTCCCATTGACTTATAGGTAATGGAGAGGTCGCAAAATTGACCTGACCTTAAGTCACCGATATCAAAATTCCGAGATATACATTTTATAGATACTGTTACCCTTATCAATCGCTGAAAGTTTCAAAGCAATCGGTCACTCGGTGTAGCTATGGCAGACATTGAAACTTTTTATGAGGTGAGGTCACTTCAAGTGACCTGGTGACCTGACCTTTAATGACCTTGGTCTGAAATTTTTACAACATGTGTAGAATTGATGTATGATAAGGTGTACTAAAAACGGCGGAGCTCCGCGCCGCCGTTTTTGAGATATTCGCGAAAAACCACAAGGGGGGGGGGTGTTCAAACACCCCCCCAGCAGGGCACGGGTTAAATCAAGAAATAATCATGTCTTGTGGTTCTAAAAAAAAGTACAATAAAAAGGGAGAATAACTCGTATTTAGAAGCATTTCGGGTATAACGGATCTGCCTCACAGTGCTCCATTGATGATATACCTACAAAACAAACGTCATTAAGCGATATATTAATAATTTTATATTTCTGCATATTCGATATAATGTATAATTCTGCGACTCTTACCCTCATGAACAGTGCGTCCTCTTACCCTATACATGCAATTCGCGCACAAAAGAACCCCGAAACATTGTGCAAAACTTCACAAACAGAATATGGCACTGCACAGTATTTCCCCAGAAAACCTCACAAGTTTCCCATAACAATCACGAAAATGTACCTTATCTCAACTGCCAAGTATCAAAATTATTGTACCATACCATAATAATATCATAACGCTCGAAAATAATATTCATCGCCTTAAAGGTAGTGTGCCAGCTTTCTTGGACCGTATGGAGTTAATGGCCCAGATAAGGAGAACCGGATTTTTAGAACTTATCCATACCTTCAAAACTCATGGAAACGTCTTAAATTCTTCAAATTTTGAGTACCCCAGTGCGAAATTCGCCCCGACGGGTTGTCGGTCGTACCCCAACCACATTTCACACCACTATGAACAATAAATGCACACACTGAAATCGCTATTACCGATATGCTCATCCAATCAAGTTTCGATAAACCCGTTCATCATCAGCTCCTGCGGTTTCGAACACGCCTGTTAGGTGGTGCGGTAGACCACGCCCAAAGCCAGGGCCCCGGTAACGTGAGGTAGCCGAGTCAGGGCAGCGTGCGCTGACCCAAGCCGGAGCCGCGCGTCCTCCCGGTGTCATGTGATAGCCCGGGGCTGCCCGCGGGGATGCGGTAGACCGCGCCCAAAGCTGCGGCCCCGGCTTGGGTCAGCGCACGCTGCCCCGACTCGGCTACCTCACGTTACCGGGGCCCTGGCTTTGGGCGCGGCTTCTGCTCATACTTTGTGGTGCGGTGGTGGTGCGTCGGGCTGCGCGCTCTGACTTCGGCCAAGAAAAATGCGTCAGCTGATCATTGTCATTTCTGCCACTTGCGTGTGGTGAAATGGGGTCATAACTTATAAGACGGCTTTTTCATATCAATTATTTTACATAAAATCATATTTCAAACCATAAATAATGTTCGACAGCCAAATAAAAGAAACAATACCAATACGGGCTTACAGTTTAAGGCTCGACATTGTGTTGACTGTTGTCTACGATTAGACAGCTGATAACTCATTCCCGTACGTCGTATGGTCGTAACACTATAATGACCTTTGCTTATTGTCACAAGTGCGCCGCATTCGCGATTGTTGCCCGACGCCTGTTTGCAGGTGAGCCCACTACAGTTGTTATACATATCTAAAAACCGATAAACTTTTAGGCGAAAAAGGCACTATTCCAGGCCCATTTTTGATTTTTTTTTGCGATATTAGGTAAAAACAGAAGCTTCTTATCCTAGGAAAAATAAAATGGGAAATCTTTCAAAGGTGGCACACTACCTTTAAACTCAACAGCGTCGCCGCACAACGCCCACCCTCCGTTGGTGACAAACACGCAATGGCGGCTTCATGTCACTTCATGAACTCGACAGGCCGGCGTTGCTAAGCAACCGAAACAGCTGATGCGTACTCTTATCGCCCGCGTCCTCTTGCCCGCCCTTACCCTAAGGGTGCTGGAGGAGATTACGAACTTCGTACTTTTATCTAAGGGTTTTCGCTGCACAGGGGGTTGGTCAGCAGGCACGTACCCAGGATTTCGCCCAGGAGGGGGCCACCTGCTTTCGAAGGGGCCCCCCACAGTGTATAGGGCCCCCCAGGTTCCCCGGGGCCCCCGGGAGTCATGAAGAACCTTTCGATGGTGGGGGGGGGGGGGGCATAGTGGGTCCTGTCTCTCCTGCAGACGTAGGTGAGAAAACGCCACGTGTGTGGGAAAACGCAATTCAGTTCTTTACAACCTAATGTAGCATTTGGTTGTGATTTCTCGCGTTCAACTTCATCAAAGTCAATTAAAACGGTCTCTGTAACGGTCTAAGCCTTGAGAAAATGTGGAAAATTGGAAAGTAAAAATATTTTTGCTTGAGGAGTGTGCATGAAACGCACGGCATTTTATGAGCGAGCGCCTCAATTACTGCACATCCTCCAATTCCGGATATGTAGGTATATAATATAATAGTGGGGAATAAATGTCTCGTTATCGGAATTCCACTATCTGGCAACTAGCCCTATGTAAACGCGGCTATTATATGTTTCACTAGGAAACGAGCGCAATTGTACTTTTAGCCAGAAAATAAATGCTTGGGTAATTCTGGGACACTCTGTATTAATTGGAGGTATAGGACTTAGGAGGAAATGCGATTGCAAATCGACCCACATCCCTGTGTTAGCCAATGACGCCTTTGGGGCCAAGGTTGGGGGGTATTCAGTTTAGCCTTTTTGTTTTTCTGTGATATCTCCGGCACCGTGAAAGATATTGGCTCCTTCAGATGAGTGCCTACTCCAGTCACTACTTATATCCAGTAGCCAGTAGCCACTCAGATGATTTGGGATCAATCAGGTGATAAGCGTACTTTCAGACGACCAGGGGCCCCCAGTCAACCAGGGGTTCCCAGGCGACCAGGTCCTCCAGATGACTAGGGGCCCCACTGCCCCAGGCGACTAGGGCCCTCCAGGCGACCAAGGGTCAATGCGATCAGGTCCCCAAAGCGATCAGGGGCCCCCAGGCGACCAGGGGACCCCCATGCGACCAGGGGGCCCCATGCGACCAGGCCCCCGGCTACCAGGGGCCCCCAGGCGACCAGGGGCCCTCTAGGTGACCAGCGGCCCTCAGGCGATCAGGGGCCCCCAGGCGACCAGGGGATCCCAGGCTACCAGGGGCCCAAGGCGACCAGGGTCCCCCAGGCGACTAGGGGCGACCGGGGGCCCCAGGCAACCAGGGGCCCCATGCGACCAGGCCTCCCGGCTACCAGGGGCCCCTGGGCGACTAGGTACCCCCAGGCGATCAGGGGCCTCAATATCATGCAACCAGAGGCCCCCCATGCGACTAGGGCCCCCTAGGCGACTAGGGGCCACAGACTATCAGGGGCCCATACGACCAGGCCCCCGGCTATCAGGGCCCCCTAGGCAACTAGGGGCCCCCAGTCGATCAGGGGCCTCATGCGACCAGAGGCCCCCCATGCGACCAGAGGCCCCCCATGCGACCAGAGGCCCCCCATGCGACCAGAGGCCCCCATGCGACCAGGGCCCCCTAGGCGACTAGGGGCCACAGGCTATCAGGGGCCCCCATGAGACCAGGCCCCCGGCTACCAGAGGCCCCCTAGGCGACCAGGGGCCCAGTAAACTGGGGGCCCTTGGATGACTGCAGGGGCCCCTCGGGTACCCAGGGCACATAAATGAAACTTTAATATCAATTTTTCTTCCGAGTAAAAGACGTTTTATCCAGTGTTTAAAAAATATCCTGGGGCCTGAGGGGCCCCCTGAGCGCCTTCGGCGCTCAGGGGGGGGGGGGGCCTTGGCCCCCGTGGCCCCCCCCTTGGGTACGTCACTGGGTTGGTGCAACCCCCCTAAGGTTTCTCAGTCGCGAATAACTCGCGTAAGAAGTGGCCGATCCCGACGAAAGTTTAAGTGCCTCTGCATTGACCGATTTTACATCTACCCTTAACATTTCAGGACCCTGACCCAAATGATCTTTGACCTGTGACCTACTTTCCGAGACCATATTTGGCCGGAATCGCGATTCAGGGTATGTCGGCTCGCGTTAGCCGCGCGTTTGCAATCTTTTCGTGGTTTTAAACGTTCAAACATGTGATTTGATGCCGCTCCCATGCATTAGGGTGGATGTTAAGGTCTCCTAAAGGTCAGGTCAGGTCATTGACCTTTGATGACCTCGGTTCGCTCTTTCGAGTTTTACATGTTTCTAGGCTAGTTTCTCGAGCTGAATTCGAATTTAACAACCATTTGAACATTTACGAAATGGTTTTGGGACCTTCATAGCAGTTACAAAGCTGTCAGAGGTGGTTGACTCGTACTACGAATACCCGTCACGACCCCTACTGGTTGACCTGACCGGATCTGAGCCGCCTTGTCCTAAATGCATAAAGACATCATCTGTGATCACAACTAACACGATATTCGTGATCAGCACCCCGAAAAAAACATAGCAGCCACACTTTACGTCGTTGTAACAGGTTCCGATTTTCCCCACTTTTAGGTCGTGACCTGACCTGGAAGGTCAACCGATGACCTTAAAATTGAGTAACATCGGCTTGCTCTCGTGACAAGCAACACACTCGTTTTTCCGCGAAGCTCTAGCTCGATCAGGGGCCAAACGCGAGGGGGGGGGGGGTTCGTACCAATCCCCCCTTGTGCCGCCAAAGGACGCAGAATGGCCTGTGCCGGAGATGGTCAGGTCAGCACTGCGGGCTATCACCACGATAGGTTTTGATATCAGTGTGGACTGTGGATGTCGAGTGTCGACTGTCGATTAAGTAAGACATTGGATATCCTATAGTTATTCAGTATTCATGCATGAGATTGAGCACACATTCCGGTAAGAAGCGTGAACATAAGTGAACGCATACATTAAAGATTAGACGGTCGGAAACGGTGTTGCATTGCAACACTAGAACGTCATTTTGTTCATTTTTCGGATAGAGGGCATTATTTTTGTTAGTTCGATGGTACAAATAAAACAGGTACCTACTGAAAGTCACTGGCGTAACGCACTAAGAACTTTTACCAAAACAAAAACCAAACAAACAAAAAACGGGAGAGGCAAAATTTGCTTCCCTGCGGAGCGCGGGTTACGGTCAAAGTAGGTTATCTTACAATTTATTATAACGACCAGCATGATACAACATTTCTTTATCAACAAACTCTCTCCTAAAGTAGGCATCTATCTCATGCTAAGTAAAACTCATTTTTAAGAGCCTGGAGCACGCAGCATTGGCACACGAATAAGACAAGCTACAAATGGATCAAAAGGATCAAAATGGCGAATGGGACTGAGTAACTAGGAAACCATTAGGGTCTATAGATCGTGTTGCGGCAGGGAATGCATTGCAAAATATATGTTCATGCTGAATGACCCTCATGATAACACAAAATAAGACAAAATGCTGTCAGCGCGCCTACAAACACATCACTTTTCTTTTAGTTTTGACAAGTTATATTTTCATTTTATCACATATTGCAAGCATTATGACCGGTGCTCTGACGCCCACCCAATGTTACCACTTACCATCAGCGTCATCAATGGTGATCAGCAAGGCTGTGAACCATGCTCCCCCGAGTGACACCGAAGACACTCCTGGGCCACTCGCGACCGACTCCGTGGGTTCCAAACAAGTGGGCATGATGATGCAGGTAAGCACGTAATAGAAACAGTGCGCTAAATCAGACAACATTATTACATACCTATTCGTAGTCTAGTGCTTCACATGCATTACCGTATTACGTGTGCTTTTTGACAGGTGTTTATTTCGCAAGAGTCTTTACAATTTCACGAGTTATCGAATGAACACGCGGAATTAATCCATTTCTAAGCGTAATAACAAATAGGCATATTATCATTGCCATTGTCAAGTGTTTTTTTTTGTTGTTATTGATCGCAACCTTGCCTTAGTCATGATTTGAAAACAATTGTGTTCTCCCTTTCAGATGACCTTTTTTGGCGGTAACCACTTCTCACTGTGGTTCGAGGGATTCCACGTGCATGACGCTGGCACCCTCACCGCTGCCTGCCTAGGAGTGGGCATCATGTCCATTCTCTTCGAGGGCCTCAAGGTTTTCAGGTAAATTGCCAATATCATTTGTCTGAAAAGTACAGTGAGATTCCGCCTTGGTGGAGGGCGTGACTTATCTTACAACACTTTCTGCAATTTTCACGTTTTAGAACACTTATATCCTTTTTCAGTTCATTAGGGAAGACTTTTTTGTTTTTACAGCAAAAATCCCAAATCAAAGGGCTGAGGGCATTTATGGATTGATATTAGAAGACATGTTTTCCTCTTTTTACTTAATTTCCTTGTAACAGACTGGGTGATTGCCAACTACCTTGCGCCGTTGAATATGAGCTATTGCTAACTAGTTTGAGCATTATTATCAATATTATGGTGTTAAAGAATGAGGACCTTATGCTCATAATGTTCTTTAATGAGAGTGAAAGAACTCAAGACGAAACAAATATTATGATAAAGTATATTTCGACTTGTCTTCAGAATGTGAACAGAACACCGTAGTCAACTTGGCCTCGCCCAAGGTCTTAACGTTCTAATATGACCACTGCAAATGTCACTTGGGGAGAAAGGCACAAAAAATCGTAATAGAACCACTTTGTATCAACTGGACACTCTTTTCAACAACAAAAGCTCAAATGACACGCGATATATGTTTTGCAGGTTGATCCTCGTCGACAGAGTCGCTTCTTCCAGGGTGTCGTCTCCAGGACACTGGTAGGTTAAAGAAAGAAAAAAAAATAGTTCGTCTTACTTATCATTAATCCTAATTTAAACTTGAGGAAATTCGTTCACCATAGTTTTTTTTTTCAAACGGACTCTGGCTCAAAGTATGTTTTTTGAATAAGCATGTGTTTTAGCGAGCAAAGCGGGCATAAACTGAACCTGAGAAAATCGAGCGTCGACTAATGTTAACATGTGATTTCTTCCCGATAATTCCTATACGCTGAGATATCCCTTTAGCATTATTCTAGCCGTGCAGGAAATATTGCACGTGATCTTTCCTGCACTGTTTTCCGGCACGGGTTGATGACCTACAGTTCTGGCGATTTTGTAATAAAATACTCTAAAAAACGTTATTTAGATAATAAGATTGTGAGTTAATGAATGGATAGCGAAACGACGTACCTATAGGAAATATCTTACTGAACTTGCTCTGGAAGAAAAATGAAAATCTCGGTCTTCAAAAAATCTCCGGCACTCGGCTACGCCTCGTGCCCATACCCTGCCTCGTGCCTACAATATTTAAAGACCTCAGATTCCATTTTTCTTTCCCAGAGCCGTTCAGTAATATTTTCCACACGTGCATTTTGGAACTACAGGCCTGTACACATTCAGCTGTTGTGCTGTTACATTGACCTATAATAAGTATAGACGAACTCAGGGGGGTGACACCTAATGGAACGCCATTGGTCACGGTTTTGCTTGCTGAAGAAGCTCCGATGACGTACTTGGCGGCGCCCGATGGCGGCCAATCAGAGCGCAGGAATTTGCTAACAAAAACCAGACTCAGCTGCTTGTGAACATTAAGCAGAGACAGTATTGGCGCTTTGGGCTCATTTATTTTCAGGTGACAAACAAGTCGTAACCGTCGTTACCATGGTTACCGTGGCCCTTGCCATGGCCACTCATACTCATATAGGGCTGATACAGCCAGTTGATTTTAGAGGTTTATTTGTGAGTTGATATCATTTTAAGTGGTTACTTGGTTGTGAAGTGGTTGAACTTTGGACTAATTCATAAATAAAATCTACTAATATGTAAACAAAGTGGTTGCATTGCCCAATATCAATATCAACATTTTGAAGAATCTTAGCAATGCCCAATCACACTGTCGGACTCTGTTCTGGAAGCCGGAGGCATCGATGTGAAGGTGAGTAACCTCAATATTTAATATGGGAAAGTGGCTTTTTTATGTCTTGGTAAATGTAAGCGTTTGCGGTGCTTTTTTATTAACATAAATGCTGAGCGAGCAGTAGAGTCTGGAATAGGTATATTACATTTATGATACTTGTCAATTTATAGTATTTAAAATGTTATTTTCAATTAATAGAAATTTTAGGACTTGAAATTAGAAATACAAATCATTTATAAGAATTATCAAAAACGTTACGGGATTTCCCTGGTCCTCGTATTTTTCATTTGGAATTATAAACTTTTTGTATTTCTTTAGAATCATGTTTTGCGAATCGTAATTGGTTTGCATTCTATGGTGATTGTGTTTATTTTTCATTGCCATGCCATTGCTCTAGCTTGTCTACAATAGTTCAGTTAATTTTAAAAGAAACGGACATTGCAAACCATGGTAACATAATTTGACTTGCGCAGCTCGTTGCCAAGTTCCTATGCCCAATGGTATCGCTCAGTGTCAATTATCTTAAATTTGCAAACGCAGCTGGTGTAACTTTTCCAGTTCGACGAGCCCTTCGCGGCTGGACCGATCACAGATGAGCTGGCGGAACTGGAGGAGGATCTCCAGCGCGTGGCTGGTGCAGAGGTCCGCGGTGCCGCCCACTCAGAGCCCAGCAGCCTGGAAGCCGACATATCCTACCAGACGATGGCTTTCGCTGCGGGTTTCGTGGCTCAAAAATGCCGCCATTTGGACCGCAGACTCTGTTAGGATGGACGATGCATCTGCAGAGGCCCTATACTTCGTTCCATATCAAGCTCGTGGTCGGAGTGTCTTCGGCAGCTACTCCTAAGCTCAATAATTTGCGTATTTGAATGTTATTAGCTGTATGTACAGAAATCAGGCACTGCTTTCAGCGGGGCACTTTGGCCGAAGGCTTGACATGGAAAAGAGCATTAGCATCTGTCCCAGACCCAAGAGGATGGCTTCAAGTGGTGAGCCGGGGCCAGCTGTATGTGCCGTCCGTCTGGTGGATGTCCGTCGTGCAGAAGTTTGAGATCAACTTCTCCCAGATCACGGTGTTCTCCGCTGACCGGGAGCCGGGAATCGTCCGGCGGAACCATGTTTGAATAAAGTCACAATTGATAACTAACAGTCTTGTCCGATGTTAGCATTGTCCGTCCGATAAGATGCTCGTTCTTTGTGCACGCGGTGAAGGTCCAGCCCCACTTCAGCGTGTGTGGCTGTTACAGCGGCTTAGGAGGAGCACGGGAAAGCGAGTGTGTGCCGCCACAGCGGCGCTGTAGGAGGGAGTCTGGCGCTGCGCGCATCTGTCGACGAGGTGGCCACAGGTGACGACGACGATTGTTAATATATTTCTTTTAACATGGGAGTTTAAACTGAAATGGCAGTTTTACAGCTTGGATGCGTACACAGCCGACGAGCTCTTAATCTTCCATCTGCCGGCGCCTGTCGCTGTTGACAGGAGTAATCGATGTTGACAGGATCGTATTTAGTATGTATATGCGTGAATAAGAGCCGTCGTGGCATATCAGAAGGTAAGGTTGCTTTCATATTACCTTGTGATACATTTAAATGCATCTCATTTTAAGACAAACTTTACCATTACGAGGTTTGAAACAGTCGGTTTTAGTACGTCGCCGGACGGGGCCGCCGAGTGGCTCGCCGCCAGTGACGTCACCCGCCGGCCGGCGGAATTCAAGGTCAAACGCGTGTTGTCGCTACCTGTAGTTTCTATGGCCTTGGACGAACTACTCGCGTCTTTGCGGCGTTCCTCGTCGACCAAAGAAGCAAATTGTTTTCTGAAATTACAGCGCAGGATAAGGGCAATCCTAACCTTTAAGCACGGACGTAGAAATAAAAGTGTGTTAAATATTTAACGTTAATTTATTTTTAAATGTGTATCAGAACGCTTACATTTACTACAAAACATTTATTTAAACGTTTAAGGTTTGAAGTCAAGCCTCACGAAATCGTCTCCATGGTAACGGAATAAACAAAGTCCTCGGCATCATTTATTGTTGCCGCATTGCAAATTGCATAAGGTGTGTTGACAGTCCTGTGCATATTAAACAAGAAAAGATAGTTTGTCACCAATAAAGAGCACAAACAAATATCAAGCACATATTGCACGTGATAAGTGAATCATTTCAAGGCGATAAAATTGACTTACGTTATTACAGCAAGCATTTCAAGCAGTGTGATCTGAGATATTTGGTATTTATGTGTAGTGGTTTGCGCCCTCCTGGCTAGACCCGTGGTTTCCACGCGAGTTGTTTATTATTCCCCCCTCCAAAGGACCACTACAATCTCGGCGCACTTGGCGACCTAAAATGCTGCAATATGCTGCAATACAGTACACTTTCCCCCTCGGAACATAAGACGTACTGCAACTTCAACTTCACAAAGAGCTTCGCCAGACACTGACATGAGCTATGCTTACTACTTTAGCCAAAGGCCAGCGCGCTGATTTCAATCAGGCGCTGAGGCGCACGCTTAGGTCTACTTGACCTGCGCAGCGCCGGTGTAGGCGACAGTGACAACGAAGATGGCCGCGCAGGCTCCACCCGACTGCTACTCTCTGCCTCGTTGTCGTCAGTCGTCCGTCCTTCATCCAGCGTAGCTGACTCATCAGGATAGACCCGGTCTGGGTCCCGTGTCGTCACCGACCGGTCCGGTTCAGCCGCAGACTCCCTGCGTTCCAGTACCGGAGGCGGAGACGGTCGGCCCACTGTCTCCTCGTGAGCCTCCTCCCGGCGAGAAGGATCGTGCCGAAGGTGGTTGACGTGGACGAACCGGACTCGACCGTGAACCCTGCACAGGTACGTATGCGGTCCCTTACGGCACAGGACGATGCCCGGTACCCACGTCACACGCTGGTCGCTGCGACAATTCCGCACGAACACAGGCTGCCGCGCTGTGAATTCGCGCAGCTTCATGTCCTTTCCATCATGACTTGCTTTCTGTTGCTCCTGCATCTTCTCCACTTGAGCCTTCAAATTGGGCTTGAGTAGGGACAGACGCGTCCTCGGCGCTCGGCGAAGAAACAGTTCCGCCGGCGTTTTTCCAGTGACTGTGTGTGGCGTGTTTCGGTACGCGAACAGGAAACTGTCCACTTGGTGTCGAAGCGTTCTCTTCTCCCCCGACACTTCGTTTTTCAGCAGGTTTTCCTTCAGCGTACGGACGCAACGCTCCACCTGACCATTCGACGCGCTGTGATATGGCGGCGTCCTCTTGTGCTTCACTCCATTCCTTTTCAGGAAGTCGCTGAACTCCGACGACGTGAACGTCGGTCCATTATCAGTGACAACAACCTCCGGAACCCCGAAACGTGCGAAGAGGCTGCGGAGTGCTTCGACCGTGCGCGCTGTCTTGATGTCCGCCATCAGGAAGACTTCTAGCCATTTTGAATGACCGTCTACTACCAAGAGGAATTGCTGACCTCCTTTCTCAGCAAAATCCAGATGCACTCTTTCCCATACACGTTCTGGCCATTCCCAGGGTATCAGCGGTGCTGCGGTCGGGTCTTGTCGGACGGCCTGACATGCGCAGCAGCTCTTCACTTCCGCATCGATGTCAGCATCAAGCCCCGGCCACCAGAGGTAGCTTCTCGCAAGGGCTTTCATCCGACCGATACCCGGATGCTCCTGATGCAGGTCCTGGAGAAGCCGCTTTCTGAACTTTGGCGGGATTATCACTCTTCTTCCCCACAGGAGGCATCCCTCTTCTACAGACAGTTCCTCTCTCCTTGTGAAGAACGGCTGGATGTTGTCCGTGATGTCGTCATGCCAGCCCGACATGACGTACTCGCTCACCTTACCAAGCGTCAGATCCCGTCTGGTTTCTT